AATTGACCGTTAATCCGGAAGAATACGGAGGAGAATGAAAGAAACTAGTTAACTTGTGTCGGTTGGGATGGAAGTTTCGACCGTTGGACCATATACTGATTCCTTTTGGAGAATAAACAATCGGTCTTTTGAAGAATAACAGCCTGATTGACGCGTTCAATTAGTATCTACCTATTGGCCGTTGGAACGTACAAACACAACAACAATAAAGAGACCGATCTCAGGGAAGAACATAATATTAGATAACCAGTTAGACGATGATGAACACTTTGTTTGTTTCTTCAGGATTTCGAGCGGTCTTTTCTGGGCTAATAAATTATGAGCACACCAGTCAGAGAGAAATCGCAAGGACTAGGGATAAGTTAAAACCCGTGACCAGGTGGAGATTTCAGAGGATCACCTTGCAGATAAGAGTAAACAGAATCGTTAGATTTTGAGCACTAAAGTGGCATCTTGATAAGTGCGTATCAAAAAGATCAGGTTTCCCAAGTAATCGAAAAAGGGGAAGAGAAGTAGTGAACGTTCTATTGCTGAAAAAAGCAATAGACCATGAAGACACGTTTAAAGGGGACTATTTGTGAAAACTTTCGATATTTGAGCACTGGTGAAGGGTTAGATATCTCTTGCAGCTATGGTAGGCATTAATTCGTTCAGCTCATATGATCCCTGAACGAATCAGAACAGTACCTGTGCGACCTACATGCAATCCCCGCCAACAGGACGGAAAACGGAGATTGTCTACTTCAACCTAGAGCTGACCACGGATTGTTCCCATCAGGCGCCAGCTTCGCTCACAAGAAACGACACCGCATCCCATGGAAACTCTTGAACACTTTACAGCGATGGACTCAAATCGATCAAATTGCTATCATCTACCACTGGTGAAGATCTACTCGAGAGTACCGCATTCACTAGCTAACACCCGAGAATATGGACCATGCTCTGTTACGAGCCAGCTTCTCTCTAGTCCTGGGGAACACCTGAAGCAAAGTCGTTGGAAACGGATATCTATAATGCAACGTAAGCAATAGTAGGAGATCGACCTACGAAACGAAGCCCTTTTACAACATTTCAGCTCGACCACCCACCGAAGGACACAATGAACATTGAACGTCAATCAAGGAAGCTATACAAAAGTCTACCAAAACAACGGCAGATTTTAGCAAATAATCGATGGATTTCAATTGATTTGACTGACTATCTTTCGGACTTCACCTTCACGCACAATCCTCAGTTCATCGATTCAACCATACAGTCGGAAGCACTAGACTTGAGTTTCGCTCTTATTAAAGCTCATCAGTAGTGCATAACCACCGTCCTGTCCGGGAGTTGAACTCTGGACCCATCGCATGGAAGGCGTGTGCGTTACCACTGCGCCAACCAGCTCACGCCTTGGCTGAACCAAATTGCCAATTCATGTTTTTTCAGGTGTTGTCTTCAATGATAGTCAGTCAATCGATGGATTTCTAGAGCTTATGTGCGTCGCTGAATGCTCGGAGCCATTCCTCCAGATATTAAGTCTGACAGAACGCAAATCCCTTAAAAGTCAGTTTATCAAGAGTCTGAGGAATGGCCGCGAGAAGCGATTGGTAGGACAGTGCAGAGACATGGAAAAGGCTGGGCTTATCAGTAATCTTTTCCGTCTAATTAGGAATTAGGGTCCAAGGAAGATAGGCGTAAATAAGGTAGCTAGGAAAACTAGATTACGAAAACAAGACAAAGATTGACTGTCGGTGTTCAAAACCGCTGTCTGGTGGAGAAACCGGACAAGAAATGCTGAGGTTAGGCGCAGAGTCTTAGGTAATGGCGATCGCTCACTGGAACAAAGGGTGGAGTTCCATGGGGTACGCTGGTCAAGGCTTGTGTCTCGTATGTTGCCAAATAGACTGCCACGGCATGCGGTTTTTTCCAAGGTAGATGGATGTGAAAATGGGCTGAATGGTCAAACTAACACCTAGCATGAGTGAATGCAAACCCTGGTCTCTTGATCATAGTATCGACGGTTAGAGACACTAAGTGCTATGGCTGAGTGTCATAAACAACAACGCTCGTGCATCTTCCAATCATCTTTGTAAGCTTAGTCTACCCGGGCTATCCATTATTCATCAGAATTCTAATGTTTATTCCACTCCTTCATCCTAAGAAGCAGCCAAAAGACAAAAACCCAAACCACCGAAGGTGGTAAAGATGGTAAATGGTTGATCAAACAAGAATGAACTTTAATTCTTCAGACTATCAAGTGCATCACTACACTATCGAACACGGATGCAGGTAGAGTGGAGCATGATTCATTGGCATCATTGTCCATGCTGTCGGTGTATCACCTGATAGGCAAAATATGGACACCATCTTCAAATTTTAAATGTTAAATTTAAATGTTGTCATGAACCAACACTTTAGTTGTCAGGATTGTTCGTAGGGGACATGCATCGACAAAGCTCTATTTTTAAAGCTTGGAATGAAATCGGTGAAATGCACTCTGAACGATTTATTATTATTTTTACTATTATTATTATTATTATTAGTTGTTGTTGTTGTTGTATTACGAGTTGAGAAAACAAATACTTTTCACATTACGGTCTTGTTTTTCGCTAATGCAGCATAAAAGCGAAAGTATAAAACCTGGAGCTACCGTAACACAAAGGTGACGCTAAATTCTTAGAGTAGTCCATTCGACTGTTCACAAGCACCAGGTAGTGTTGATAGTCTAGGGTACGGGTTTCACTCCTTGGGAGATCGTTCATTCCTCACTAGTTGAATGTATTTATCAGTCCATAGCTTAGAAATGCATTCAACAAGTGGGGAATGAAGGATCTCCAAGGTGTGAAACCCACACCCAAGACAATCAATAATGCCTGGTGCTTGTGAATAAACGAATGGGCTAATCCATGCATGATATTCCAAAGTCGCTTGAACCATTCGCATAAGGCGATGAAAGTCGACTGTTTAGTTCAGGGGTAAGAATTGGAAGTCAAACCCGAAGGTTTGAGCCTCGAGTTTTGACAGGAACACAAAAAGCACGCACGGCTGATGAGTATCAAATAGAACAAAGCAGCTGTCCAGTGCTCTTGTTCGGCCATCACAAATCCTTTTTACGCAATGTGCGCCTTAAGCGGTTTCTACTTACGATGTAGCTTCCATAAAGCCACTTTTTTAAAAATAAACTGATCGCCGCCATTAAAACTCTGCATTTGAACATCCTCACATCATTGAGAACGATGGTTTTTCCCATCCAATAACCCACTTAAGGCTGAAATCATGCCTTGTTGGGTCTGACAAATGATAAAGTGGGAGAAGTGGAAATATCGGATTGTACGAGACTTTATTGTGGGGAAATACAACCGCGCGAGTGTAAAATGACTATCTGGTCGTTCAAAGGGACTTGGACATTTCGGCTGTTCTAGTGTTATATTAGAAGAACTCTTTATAAACATTTCATGAATCAATAAGATATTGTTGCATCCCTCGAGTACTTTCCAGGTGCTACTTTATCTTACGTTTTCCACAGGAAATTATACATACCTGGGTAATGAAGGCACACTATTCGAAATTGCTAATGGAACACAGAATTCAGTATCCAATTGCAGCACTTAAAATTGTTTCTAATTTTTATCCGACACTGCACATTAGATAGTGTTTGTGTCACAAAGTGGACACTGTTTCCAAGTGCCTTATGTACAAGTACAGTCTATAAGAAAATGAAGATAATTTCATGACCGTCAAGTATCACAGAGTTATGCAAGGGCAAGAGTTGCTGGGACTGACATCAATTAGGTTCGAACCATAGCAGAGAGAGAGAGAGAGAGAGAGACAACGAACTGCGTGTAACAGTATGCTCGGTTCACCCATGTTCATAAGAATCCTTGCGTCACCTGAAAACTGCATAACTGGGCTGTACGCAGGTACCCTTTAAATGAACTCGTTTACGAATCCTAAAATGGGATATGACCACCGAAATCAGTGAATTTGTTTCACGCGCAGTTAAATCGGGACGGAGAGAACAATTCCGAGGTCGTATGTGCAAAACAAACAAGAAACTACATTTTCACCTTCGCACCAGCGAATACAAAAAGCATGCGATTCATAGTAGTATTGTGAAGTGTCACTAATATTGGCGAGTAGTACGATTGGTACGAGCTTGAATAAACTAGTTTCAGAATCTCACAGCATTTAAAAAAAATGAACAAGACATCCGGGAACAGGTTAGTGGATTCAAAATTGTAGCAACGGAAGATACAATGAGACCGTTGGACTGTTTGATCACTGATCCCAAGTCTTTGAAATAAAACCGTGAATAGTACATTTTTCGTCCTACGTAGCCCGATTAAGCCACTACTCATGTTAATGTTACACTAAACAACTCTCCCCAGTGCACTACAAGCCTTGTGGATTTATAACACTGGTGGGAATTTGGTGCAACAATTACGGGCCGAGCAACCGGTGATGAATTCCGATGAAATGGAAAAAATACAATAATCATAGACCAAACGAGGTACACTGAGCAGTTTTTCTATAAAAAGAAAATAATGGACAATGCTTCGGAAATGTCAAATGAGTCCAAACGAGCTGAAACGAATATTCCTGAACGGTACATTCACATTCACAAACATCGGTACGTGGATCATTGTGCTTTTTTGTCTGAACCCGTTACTCACTCGGATCGTTTTAGCCGGCAATAAGCCGACCGCGTAGCCAAGCATCGTCCCGCCGACAAAAACTTTAACCAGTCGCGGATCCCCGAAGCACGTAGATTTCGCGAACGAATCGGTTGCCTCTTTATTCGTTGTATCGGAACCTTGCGTATGTACAATCTGCTCATCAACAAGTGCGTCCAGTAGCCCAATCACATGATTGACCAATCGCAACCGATCCGCAATCTGAGCTGGTTCATCCGCGACAACTGAGTGTTTGGTCCCCGAATTGGTTCGATCAGTTGCGGTTTTCCGATCACGTGTAGCGGGCGGACAGATTCCGGTTAACTGAATCAAAGCGACACCGACATTCACGTACTGTTCCCCATACAGATCAGACGTGGTGGATTTGCCGGGTAACCGATTGAACAGTGATGCGATCACGTAGCGAGGAACGACAGATAGGAGAAGTCTAGCCAGGGCCAGTCGTGTCGAGGTGAGCGAATGAGTGACAGACTGATTCTGTTCAACAAGTGAAACACAACAGGAACACATGATTCAAATGAAGGTTCGCCAAAAGGAAACCAGCACTGATGATGGAATTCCTGTTCAAAAATTAAAAAAACATGTCACATCATTCACCTTATTTTGTACCGTTTGGTTTAGGAAAACGAATAGTCGACGGAATCGAACTATGGAGGTTGTAGACTGTCTGAGAACATCGATAAAGTTGCGTCATATAATGCGGAAGAGAAAGAACCTCGTTTTTCAGATGATAAGAACTGAGTCACAACCCGGTTATATTATACTCCGAAACGTTGGCTTGTTGTCCAGTAGATAGTCAGATGCAGTTGTTTGTGAGAGGGTCAACAATCTTTGCCCAGGGTGGCATAGTTGAGCTTTCTATGAAATGTGCTCTCGGACGACCCCGGGAGAATCCTTTAAACTGAAACAAGGTGTGTGCTGACCGAACAAAAGGAAACACCACACGTCGGTAATAGCGACTGCAAAGTCATTCCTACTGTGATCATTGGTTTAGAAAAAACGATTTCCTGACATACGCAACAAGAACGGACAGAGCCAAGTGTTGTGTTAGCCCAGCCCATAGATTCAGTTCAAACAAAGCTGCTCACACGCGACAAAATGCGTTCACATCTGTTAGAACACGACAATTGTCAGAACAAATGCGAGAACACAATGACTCCGAGTACACTCTCATTGTGAATTGATTATCCACGGTAAACTGATGGGCACTTAAGTCCGGGGAGGGATCGACATAATGGAGTTGTCCTAATGTATTGGGGCAGGGTCGGGTAGCGCAAGGGGAGGGGAGGGGAGGGGTAACACAACCTAGATCAATAAGCATGAGTCAGCACGATTACGATTTCTGACAAACGAGAATTCTCGAGATATGGAAATGCACACGTCAAAACGCTGGCCACACCCCAAATGTATGGAGAAGTAAACGAGTGCAACAGAAATCATCCCGGACACTTGTCGGAATGAAATAAAGATTGAAACTATGGAGTGTTTTCAGGAAAACGGGTAGCACTAAAAAGACCAAAGTAGCAGGTGCAAAATGACACAAGTTTTTGCATCATGCAATAGGAAGACAACTTTAGCCGTTAACATTATTGTCGAACCACAAACCAATAGCACTACTGCCGACCATCAAACATTTCTCAACCAGCACTATAGCGTGCCCAAAGATTGTACCGCAAATGAAGGCAGGAACTATTCAAACGACAAAAGTTTGAAGAAAAACAGAGATAGGATCGTTTCCGAGATTCATTCTTCGTGGACTGCAATATACTGTTCTTTGTTGATCAGCCTTTATGTGAACAATGAATGAGCATGGCAGACAAATAAGACAGAGATATTGTACAGGGAAAAGAGCACGAAGCACCACGGAGGACAACCAAAACATCACTAGATTCGAGAGCGTATGGATTTCATTAGCCAATCAATGCGGAGATGAAATTCCGAGCTTAAACCTTGCTCAACGCTGTCTTTTAGTCCATCTCGTCAAGCCATGAAGAAGAAACCAGGTGTGAATTAAAAAAACGAAAAGGTTTTCTAGGACCGGAGGAGGGCGTGGCGATTGTATGCATACTGAAAGTGAATGGATGCATCAGAACAGAGAACAGGCAAATACTGCGAGATGTTAACGGTTCTCTGATTATTCTCAGTCATAAACGAAAAACAATCTGGTATAAATACAATAAAGTTCTGATTGCTACATTGGTTCAAGGGACAACAGTCAAGGAAGGCGAGTCGGAATCGGTGCTACGGTAATTCGAATGATTACATCAGAAACTTTTGGGCACGATAAATTGGATTCATGTTGCGTAACCGCGGCTTAAACGATAAAGGTGGATTATCGACGTGCCCAGTTGTCATGAGATGTTTTGCGAATGATGACCCTAGACTCTTCTTATCAAACTGACCTGTGAGATCCTGCTGCGTCATTAACTGTGATAACCATTTGTTGTATAAATATCAGATTGTTTTAGGTTTTAGAGACTCAGGAGATTAAAATAAATGTCAACATCTCACAGTAATTGTCTTTTCTTTGATTTAACGGGTTGGATAAAGGTGACCCGATGTTTCAATTATGCGTAAGAGTCGATTTTGAGGGCACTGAACTGATTCTAATGACTCCAGTAAAGAGGGAAACCACGAATTAGTTTCCTGGTTAAGATATTCATATCTTGACATGTGTGTTAATGCGTTTAGATAGAATTATCAGTAGCACGGAAGACACTTCTAAGTAGCTATCCTTGAACAGTAAGTGATCGTAACTGATCTAAGAGAACGAAACCGGTGCAAGCAGTTAGAGTTAGGAAAAAGCTACTGCTTCTAAAAATCATATTTGAAGGAAATCTAGCGGCTGAAAGTGTCAATAGAGTCTTGCGTGCCGCAGTAAAGACAATTATTAGTGCGGTTAAATTGGGATAAGCTTTCTCAACATCATATCCTAGGTCAGAACAGGGAGAAGTTGTCCATATTGAGCTCATCAAAGATCATCGGACAAGTTAAATGCACCTGTGTTGCATGTTCATGTAGGTCGTATAATAAAGTACCTATCACAAGGTATCAGGGAACATAAACCCATGCGGCTTAGCTCACAGGAGCGAAGGTTATATCAAGTTCGGTTGTTGCTGCAAAAATATTCCCGATTGAGTGACCTTGAGAACAAAGATTAGCAAACATGGTTGTTTTGGGTGCTACATAAACTAGCATAAAGCAGCACAATTTAAAACAGATTATTATAATCGATTAAACGGATGGTGGCAAGAGCCACATAATTGCGATGACAATCAGCTTAGAAAGCGAGGTTTTTGTGATGATTGGCACGCCTCACTTGTGTGTGTATTTGGAAGCTGAACGACGGAGGATGGTTGTGAAACAATGAGTGGGTGAATGAATGAGAGTGTATGAACGGAGGTTATGTCCCTAGATGATAACTGGGTGGCCATAGTAGGACTATAGTGATCATTCTGGGAGCATAAGTGGGAAGAGGGTAGAGAAGAATGGCAATCGCCTCGGCTGTTGATAAGTTTGGATGTGACCTCTTTGGATAACCTTCCCTTGACCGGATAGAGAGGATATAAAGCCTTACACACATCGAATTTGTGATTAGACACGGCCGTCTGCATACGTAATGTCAAGCTCTGATCCAACCAGCTAGGATAATGTTCCTTGATATGATCGTCTATCGACCCACATCACTTGCACCATAGGAACAGATGAATTGACAAACACAAAACGAGGTGGTATCCGGGGGTAATCTGCCTTTGGCCTGGGTTGGGCATGCTATTATGAATGAATGACTCCATTAAATTGAAAAACATTTTGAGACCGTTCCAGTTCAAATCTAATGAAGTCCGCAGAATAAAGTGTCTTAATACAGATTTTTTCTTTGCAGTGTAGAGATGAAATTTAGGTAGTGTGGGCTATTCAGTCCATGTTTTCCTATTAAGAATGCTTCTACGATTGGAGTTGTCTGTGCGTCGAGACAAGAATTTATCTATAACTGCGCAATTGTCTACGGGTTTCTTTTTAGGTGTGAACACCATTTTTGGATGAGCTCCATTGAATTTCTTAAACAGAATATCGAAATTCTTGCCAGCATTGTATACACATACCACGTCAACCAAATGTCGTTCGCCGTACATTTCATCGAGACGGGGCATTTAAGGGGTAGTAATTCGGTTTCGATCTTCATTTACCGGGTCCAACAACACAATTTCGAGGCTCACAGAATTAAACTGCTAGCATCAGCCGAGGCAATTATCAACTGCTTCCACAGTGGATTCCGTCGTGCATTGAGCAAATGAGACGTGTGTTGAAAAGCTAGGAAGTACTGGACAGATGTTTCGATCTCATTCAGCCCCATTAGCAGTGCGAATCATCTATCGACCCAGCTGTGAATCGAACCCAGGACCTCACTGGTAGAACGCAACCATGCTAAACACTCTGCCATCAACTGATCAGACCGTTTCTCATTTTCCATTTACGCGATATCGTACAATCCATCTTTGTGAGTTTGTTACGGACATCACGCCCTGCCGATCTCAGCAATAGCCTCCGGGGTTGGAAACATTTCACAGTGACTGCTTGTTACGTGAGAGTAGTGGAGAATTCGATTCGATTATATAGCGGATTTCGTAGTGTACAGCGAAAATGAAGCGTTGATGGATGGATTCGCACTTACGTTCAGATCCAATCAAGTCGAACACAGCTGTACAGTGTTTTCTGGTCTTTCATTGGCTCGGTACACGATGAAATCAACTATATTGATCGAATCACATACTCCACTACTCTCGAGTTGTCTTTCTGATGTTATCATATAAATGAGCGGGAAAAGCTTAATGTGAGCACGTGAAATTGATAACCAATGTGCATTTTACTTGGATCACTCATCTATCAATTTAACGAAATTCACAATGAAATCTTCTGACATGGGTAACGGGATACGGCTATTCCCGATATTTTAACAAAACTGTTCAACGGAACGGAGTTCCACCAGTGATAAACTAGGAGGTTTTGGATTTCTGAAAATCTTGTGCTTTTCGTATTCACCGAATTTTCAATTTCCAATATGACATCATACACAACCGAAACTATCATGTGTTTAAAAGTACTTCCTTGAATCGATCACTCGTCAGGCTGTACAATGACAAAAATATCACCTACTGCTTAAACCCCGCAACGAGTGAAGCGAGGCAGAGAAGCAAAGGGTTGCGGGAAGGTGGGGGATGTGAGGCATTGAAACTGAATAACAAATCTACGAAGAACAGGTTCAAATGTGAAAAGAGCGCCGAACGAACGCGATCACGGTAGATAACAATCACCCCCCTCCCCCCATTTGACAGATCGGTACACACAGAAATCAGAGAATTAGCAAACCTTGGACAACCATTGATGGAATAGGACACACTGAAATTCCAGACCCCGAGGGAGAACAAACGCGAGCAGTGTGAATGCCCCGAAGGCGAACATGTGTTGCACAAATGTGG